ATCATCATCATCATCCTTCACCCTTCCCTGACTTTACACCCACGCCTGTCCTCTCTTACACCCGAAGACCACCCCTGCGCCTCACTGTAGTCCAAACCCACCAGCTATGGTGGCTGGGCTATGGCGCTGCCCACAGCAGCGCCCTTCTTCCCTGCACGGCCGCACGTGCTGCACTTCGCCTCTCAGCGCCAGCCAGCAGCCACGAGCTCTTGCTCCAGCAGCACTGCCGCTAGCATGTGAGTGCCTGAATGAGGCTGCCAGGGGAGAGCTCTTTCCTTTATGGAAAGAGCTGGCCTGCTCGTGCAGCCTGGCCGCACTGGCCTGGGCCCAGAAGCTTCCGGAAGGCCCCAGGAGGTTGCCTGTGTACAGCAGCTACTGGGCTGCTGGGCCTTCTTCGGTTGGGCACCCAATTGTCTCTGTATGAGGCTGCGTATCACGCCCAGGGCCTGCATTCTTTGGAAAAGCCCGGAAGGCCGTGGAAATGTCTTTGTCGCCCGGCCTGAGTTTCTTTCAACCAACTGGCGCATCGCAACTGCCTGGACCCCAAATATGAAATTGACAGTCGAGGGCCTCCTGCGATATGTTAGGCCCGCCTTCACTTAGGGCGGGCAATGCTGCAAACAGGGCCCCTTAGGCCTACCGCGGACCCTGATCCTCGCATTCCCTCCTCCTTTACTTCGTGAGTCCTCTGAGAAGTCTATTATTCTACAGGCATCTTTCCTTTGAGTGCTCTTTCGTAGCCTGCAATCACTTGAGGTGCTGTTCTCATGAGTTTTTCTCGTGTGAACCAGCGATCCTCCTTAGGATCCAAATGATGTCTGAAGCTCACACGATACTGCATTCTCGGTTTAGGAGGGCGCCCTCTGCCTGATGGTCGAGGAACAGGCATCACTCGATGCTCAATGATCTGGTCCACGTCCACTTCGTCGTCCCACATAGTGGCGATCCAACTAAATATCTTGATTCCAGTTGGCACCGCTATAATCATGGTTGCTGCGGTGAAATAAGCTCGGGTCAATTCAACCACTAGTTTCCTAATGGCATCGGACTATATCTTCAACCAGAGAGATAAGGTGCTAACTTGGAGACATGGAACACAGGGTAGGTACGCAAGTGAGGTGGGATGCGGATTACATATGAAGGACCATCTGGTTGATCTCCTACAATGTCTAAGATCTCCCAGGGCCCAAAGTATTGTGGCATTAGCTTGCGGGATATGCCTAACTCCTGACCAAGCTCAACGGACTTAATCCAGACTCGCCTACCTGAAAGTTAGAAGGCCGTCTATGCTTGTTCTCAGATGCAATCATTGCTTCCTGAGATTTTCTGATATGTTCAACGGCCTGCTGCAGCATCTGTTCATACTTGACAGCAAACTCTATGTTGCCGGGTGCTGCAGTGGGTTCTCTTTCTGGTAGCAGAAAGTCAAGGGCCTAACTCCTGACCAAGCTCAACGCACAGCGTTATTGTACAGGCTGGCAACGAGAGGTAGTTTCTCGTCCCAGTCGTCATGACTTGGCTTGATATAGTGCCTAAGTAGGTGTTGTACTACTCCATTCATCTGTTCCGCTTGACCATTTGACTCAGGATGATTCCCTGAAGTCATTTGGAGTTTTGTGTCGATTTGTTCAGCAGTAGACTGCCACAGTTCGCTCGTGAATCTTACATCCCTATCACTAACAATAGACGTAGGTAAACCGAAATCCCTTACCCAGTTGTCCATGAAGAGTTTGATGACAAAGTCAGTTTTAGCAGTTTCAGGCATAGCGATCAGTCTTGCATACTTAGTAAAGCGGTCCACTACAACGAAGATGTGCCTTTTGCCGGACTTACTGGTCACAAGAGTATCCATGAAGTCCATGGACACACTCTGACCAGGACCTTCAGGAATCAGCAAGGGCTTGATGAGCCCAAGCGGTGCCTGAGTCCTAGGTTTGTCTCTTTAACAAATTTGGCATGTTTCAACATAGCGTTTCGCATCTTCCATCATAGAGGGCCACCAGAATCTCTGCACTAAGTTCGTTGATGTCTTCCTATAGCCAAAATGACCAGTTGCATCATGACATTCTCCTAAAAATAAACTACGCAAAGACTCACTATTAGCGACACATAGTCTTTTATTCCCTACCTTCTCGAGAAACAGCAAGCCATCTACCATCGTAAATTCGTCCAAAGTCTTTTTGTCCTTTGCTTGGAATCTACGGATGATCTCTAACATAACAGGATCTCCCTGATAGGCTTCGACCAGCAATCGAGTGAGTTCGTCAGATATGCCAAACTCAGTGACTAGCGCGCCCAAATAGTTTGCCCTTCGTGATAGTGCATCAGCCACTTTGTTATACGTACCCTTGATAGGATCAAGTTGATAGTCATACATGTCTATCACTTGAATCCATCTTTTGAGTGCGTTAGATAGTACAGGTTGTGTCTTAATCCAGCGCAAAGTCTCGTGATCAGACCTCATATAGAAGAATCTTCCTAGGAGGTAGTGTCTCCAATGAAGTAGCACTCTGTACAGGGCGTAGAGCTCTCTCTCATATGTGGCCTTAGCTAACTTCTGAGAAGGCATCCTTTTACTCATGTACTCTACCGGTCTCAACCGTATGGCTGACCGGCGATTACTAGCGATTCCGCCTTGATGCAGGCGAGTTGCAGCCTGCAATCCGAACTGAGACCGGGTTTTTGAGGTTAGCTCGCCTTCGCAGGGTTGCAACTCTTTGTCCCGGCCATTGTAGCACGTGTGTCGCCCAGGATGTAAGGGGCATGCTGACTTGACGTCACCCTCCTGTTGCGCAAGGACCGCGCCTATGCCATATTGGCAAGCGTCTGTGGTTACAACAAACGGCTTGTCAGGATCTGGAAGTGTGAGAACTTCATAGTGTGTTAGAGCATACTTCAATTTCTTGAAACTTGCCTCACACTCTTCAGTCCACTCCCAAGGGTGTCGAGTCGAGTTAGATCTGTTAATGGGGAGGCTACCGTACTATAATAGCCCGTCATCCCCAAGAACGATCTGACCTCAGTAACAGTCTAAGGTCTGGGCCAGTCACGTATGCTGGCCACCTTCACATCTTCTGGCCTCAACCCATCTGCTGAAATTTCATGACCCAGATACAAGATCTTGGTGCGACCGAACTCGCATTTCTCCAAGTTAATCTTGTACTGATGCTGTCTTAGGAGACCCAGCACTGTATTCAGGTGCTCGGCGTGCTCCTCTGCAGTCTTACTAAAGATGAGGATATCGTCGAGGTACACGACGATAAACTTATCTAAGTAATCATGAAAGATCCTATTCATTGTGTGCTGGAATGTCCCAGGTGCATTGCATAGGCCAAAGGGCATCACCACAAACTCGTACAGACCGTACCTAGTCTGGAATGCAGTTTTGTGTTGGTCCTCTGGTCTAATGGCAATTTGGTGGTATCCGGACTTTAGATCTATCTTAGTAAAGTGTCGGCATCCCTGCACTCTATCCAATAGGTCGTTGATGCGGGGTAGGGGTTCTGCGTTCTTAACAGTGATGGCATTGAGACCCCTATACTCAATGCACATCCTCAGGGTACCTCCCTTCTTCGGTACGAATAGGACTGGAGCGCCGTAAGGGGAGGTACTAGGCCGAATCCATCCCTTCTCTATGAGCTCCTTGAGCTGGCGGTGGAGCTCATCTAACTCCGCAGGAGACATCCTATAGATTCGTCCTCTAGGCACCTTACTACCTGGGACCTCTATTGTATGGACAACCTCCCTTTCTACCATGCATGTGGGCTCCTCAAAAAGATCTTAATATTGTGCGACGACTGATTCTATCTCTGGGGGTGTTTTTACGGCCTCCCCTTTCTCAGAGACAAAAACTAAGTACATGCCCTCCTCGCGATTCTGTTTATAGTAGTTATAGAAAGAGGAGGCACACATGCAACCGTAGTTTTCCACTAGACTGCTAGCTTTATACTTTTGCAGCCTAACGGTCCTACCGTTTGGAAGCTTGTGTATCAACACCTTTCTATCCCAATCAAACTGAGGTTGAGAAACCTCGAGGTAGTACATGTCTAATAGCATATCAAAGGGCAGTTCGTCGCTAACCAGGAAGGAGATTTTGTGGCTCACTTCCCCTCCTCCATAGGAGAAGGTGCAGACTACGTCCTTGACATAATCCTTGACTACCATTTGGTGCTTGTTGGCTAGCGTAGAAGCTACAGTTCTGCTAAGCTGCTGCACTTGGTCCCCTAAGTGTAGTCTATCCATACAAGCACGACTGATGAAGTTTCCTGTAGAGCCTATGTCTGCGAAGGCACCAACCTTGCGGCCACCTACATCAACCTCTACCACGAAATGTTCACCCTTTGGACCTCTACTGATCATCGACCAAGAGTCTCTAGGGTCCTTCCCTAACCACTCAGTCTCTAACTTTTCTATGGCCTCAACACATCTCTCGAACAGAGCGTCGGTGGGTCTGAATGTGTCTGGGTCACTAGCCTTGGCCAATGCCTGAAGTGCGGAAGGAAACGTAACCACTTCGGCGCGAGTAAGAGCGGCTAACACTCCTACTGGCCCGAGGAGTTTCCCTACGAAGTGCTTGCAGAAGCACTGCCAGGGTTTGAAGATAGACCCACCACTGTTGGTGATGCTACCTTCGTTGTGACCTTTTTGCCTCGGCATGTCTGTGACGTGTGGCCATAATTGTCACAGTTCATGCATGTGCCCCTGGCAACTCGGTCCCTCCACACCTCGTAATCTAAACCAATCTTCACCCATGCGGGTGTCCCTTGGTCGCCCTTACCCGTGGACCGAACTACCTTCTTCTTCTCGGTCCCGCTAGCCTTTTCCATGATGGGTGCCACGACTCCCCCATCCGAAGTCTCACCAGCCCCATCGTGCTCTGTCACCTCCCCAAGGTTTGGGAAATCGTCAATCTCCATCGTTTAACCATCATGGTCCACTAACATCAACTGACCCTTCTTCCAGTTCTAGGGAAGTCTCTTCCTACCATCATGAGCTACCTGATGAGCAGATCCCAGCTTTGCCTCTATGTCCAGAGCTTTCTTACTAAAAGTAACGAAGGTGTGCTGTTCGGCATAGGCCTCATCAACCAGCTTGGTCCTTACCTCTGCAGGTAGGCACCTTAGGTAATCAGTCAGGAGAACCTGCTGGCCAAAACGCACACCAGGTACCACGAGTAAACGTTTTACGGTGTCCGTTATCTCTCTAACATTCTTGAACCTGCGGGAACAAAGACTGTTGATAGCATCGGTGGCCTTCTAAGCCCCTTGCGGGTCACGCCACCCGTTATACACGGACCGTATGAACTCTTCCAATGTCTAGGTCTATGCCCAGGCATCGAAGTTTTGACCGCAGCCCTGCGGCTGCACTAAGCCATTCAACCAGCGGGCTGCTGACCCCTCTAAAAAGGAGGCAGCCACTACAACTTCCTGCTCTGGCCTGGTGAGCTTGTGCCTCACATAAGTAGGCACAGTCCTCACCCAGGTGTCTAAGTTCTCATCCTTCTTCCTATCCCCAGAGAAGGGTTTGGGACTCATCAAAGGTATTTTGAGCATCCACTGCATAGGTTGCATGGGCCCAAGGGCTTGCTGCAGCGGCTGCATAGCCACTGAAACAGGTTGTTGCACACTAACCTGGGCCTGACTTGACGGTGGGACTGTAGTGACCATTGTCGTAGATGGTACGGCTGAGACTCTATGAATCGGACCACTAGTTGCTACTAAACCACCTGGAGGGGGCATGCCAAACATAGGAGAGAAAGTTGGCCCTGTGGGTTGCGGCATCGACGAAGGACCCGCACCCGCAGCGGCAACTACAGCAAACTCTCGCTGCCTCATCATTGTACGAGGAGCCCGAAGTTCAGCCAAGATTTGTTTCTGGCCTGCTACCAATTCGGCCAGCAATTCCTGTTGGACATTCTGCGCTTCTGCCGCTGATAGTAAAGCATTACGCAGCACACGGACAGCAGGGTCTAATGCCGCCTCATCTAGCCCTTCCAATTTGCCTAACTCATGCACTCTACTTCCTAGTCTAGCCTTTCTGAGTATGGCTCTTCTTCTCCTCTCTGCTGCTTCGTCCAACTGCCGCTGCAGCTCATCTTGAAGTTCTTCTGTCTGTCAGATTTCTAAATCCTCCGGTGTGAGTGGACTTTGCTGGCTGACTTGCAAACCAGCTGACTGACTAACTGCACCCGATCCACCCTGCCCTGCTCCGGACGAAGAAGTTAGGGAAGAGGTTTTTGGCGTAGAGGCGGCGGTAGCCATCACAGCTGCTAAGTTGGCTGTTGCGTCCCTAATCCTCCTCGCGGTTACCCTCTCCCTTGCTTCCCTTCGTAGTCTCCTTTCCTCCCCAGGGGCTAACTCCTGAAAAGTGATCGGTCGACTAAGAGCGGTTCTCTGTGTGATCCTAAGGGGTTGTACTAGCCTTCCCTCCTCCTCACTGTTGTCTTCACTCATGAGCTACAGTGTGTGTGATCTAAACTAGAATCCACACTGAATCCTACCTTAGCATGACACACAACTGCTTATGAACTACTTATGGTCGGCCTGAACAGAAACAGTTAGGTGATGTAGTTAAACTAATGCCATGTCCTACAGAATATATTAAATCTATTTTTAGATTACTCCAATACAGATAGCATTGCAGCAAAGACCTAGTTTGTTTGTAGCTGTCTGTCAGTTGTTAGACAAGTCCGTAACAACTAAATAATCAAAAATAAAAATAACATCTCCTGTTGGAGATGTACACTGGATGGCAGATTCTCTAATTATAGCCACTGTGAACTGTTACCGGAATCCCCCCTCCCTCTGTATCCTTCTTGAGTGGTCGCTTTGTGTCAACGTCCTGAGCATCTGGTTAAGCAGCGTGTCCGAAGGTGTGCAATCCGGCCCACCCCTGTGCCCCAAGTCAACGCCGAACTTGCCAGCCCCTGCACCTTATTTATCCTCACATGCAACGAGCCTTCCACCTGGTTTGATCTGGCTGATCAAGAGGGATTTAAGGAGAGCCCCCATCTCCTCAAGAATTATTTAACGTCGCAAACAGGACGAAGCCAGGTTCAACACCAAGTCTGCAGCCAGAAATATTTAAAGACGGTCTGGTAAGCGTCTGTCCAAAGGGTTGGCATGCCCTGCATAACCTCTATTGTGCAAGCAGCGGAACCAAGAACTTGTTGCCAAGCATGCGTGTACTAGTCTCAGCGGGTTGGCATGGTGACCGTGACCCGAGTGCTTCGTCCAAGGCCCTTTAGAGGCTTCGCCCGTCTCCCACCAGCTTGCTGCCCAGGAAGAATGTCGACTCTCAAGGTTGAGCGATCGCGACACCTCACATCGAGAGGACTCTCAAGACAGAACTCACTTCCTCACGGTAAGAAGTAACGAAGAGGGTAAATAAGGAAGAGAGCAACGTACCTCATAATGCTGCCCCCAACCACAGATTTCTCACCGGCAACCTGATGTGCATTTATGATGACCGGTCTTTGCCTCGGCACAACCAACATCAGAATGCAGTGTCACATCAGCGAGCTCTCATCATCCGGCATACACCCCGTATGTCACCACGTAGCTCCCTGGCGCGCCCACTCTACCCTGGGCCGCCCAATGTTCAACACCAATGCCTTATCACTGGCCCACACCTCATGCGAAGCACCAATAGCTATTGCGAACAATCAATAAAGCGCAATATGAACCAGCTCCGATACCAAATTGCAAGGAAAATAAGCAACAGCGAGATGACAATTCCAGATTACACCATCACATTGAGAGCCAGATAGTCACACCGTGTCCAGAGAGCAGCATTGCACCAATAATACACCAATGGAGGTTCGTAGTACTGAAAACCAATGTCCAGGAGAGCAT